AGCTCTCTGCAACCTCCACCTCCTGGATTCAAACTACTCTTCAGCCTCCAGATACCTTTTTTTTTGCCCAGGCTGGAGTGCAGTGGCATGATCTCAGCTCTCTGCAGCCTCCACCTCCCAGGTTCAAGCAATTCTCCTGCCTCAGCCTCCTGAGTGGCTGGGATTACAAGCGCCCGCCACCACACCCAGCTAATTTTTGTACTTTTAGTTGAGACAAGATTTTGCCATGTTGGCCAGGTTGGTCTCCCAACTCCTGACCTTAGATGATCTGCCCACCTCAGCCTCCCAAAGTGCTGGGATTACAGGCATGAGGCACTGCACCCAGCCAACACCAGGAAGAGTTCTTTTTTTTTGAGATGGAGTTTCGCTCTTGTTACCCAGGCTGGAGTGCAATGGCGCGATCTCGGCTCACCGCAACCTCCACTTCCTGGGTTCAGGAAATTCTCCTGCCTCAGCCTCCTGAGTAGCTGGGATTACAGGCACGCGCCACCATGCCCAACTAATTTTTTGTATTTTTAGTAGAGACGGGTTTCACCATGTTAACCAGGATGGTCTCAATCTCTTGACCTTGTGATCCACCCGCCTCGGCCTCCCAAAGTGCTGGGGTGACAGGCGTGAGCCACCGCGCCCACCCACCAGGAAAATTTCAAATGAAATAGGATAGCCAGTGAAAAGCCAAGGTGCTAAACTCCCTGAGTCCAGCCACCCAATTCTGCCCAGGGGCTGCCACCCATGCCAGTGTTACCTGTACATTCCTTTAGAGATAGCCTTTGCATCTAGAAGTATTTGTAAATATACTGATCTGATTTGATATGGTGCCCATTTACTCCCTGATCTATTTCCGTTTGCTCACATGGTCCCTGCCACACTGGCCTCTTCAGTGCGCAGAAACTCTGTGAGCAAATGAAGTATTTTGTCACACCAGGCTGGGTCCAACCCGAGTCCTTTACCCTTGCTGTTTGCTTGGCCTGTAGTGTTTGTCCACCAGCTGCCCACAGACTCACCCCCTCACCACCTTCAGGTCTTCATTTATCGAGGCCTTGCCTGACCACCCAGCCGACAACTTCAACTCCTCCCGCTTTGTGCCCCTTCATTCCTTTTGTTTCTTAAGGACTTACCACTAACATGCCAAATATCCTTCATCACTGCACCACTGGAATATAATTTCCATGCGGGCAGATTTGAAAATGGATATTTAGGATATGGTGGCTCATGCCTGTAATCCCAGCATTTTGGGAGGGTGAGGTGGGCAGATAACCTGAGGTCAGGACTTTGAGACCAGCCTGACTAACATGAAGAAACCCTGTCTCTACTAACAATACACAGTATTAGCCGGGAATGGTGGTGCATACCTGTAATCCCAGCTACTCAGGAGGCCAAGGCAGGAGAATCGCTTGAATCTGGGAGGCGGAGGATGCGGTGAGCCAAGATCATGCCATTGCACTCCAGCCTGGGCAACAAGAGCGACACTTCATCTCAAAAAATATATATATATATTTATTTATTTATTTAATTACCCCTTTCAACTTTTTTTTTTGAGATAGGATCTTACTCTGTCACCCAGGCTGACGTGTAGTGGCATGATCTCATACCCAGCTAGTTTTAATTTGTTTGTTTTTGATAGAGACGGGACGTCACCATGTTGCTTAAGCTGGGCTCAAACTCCTGAGCTCAGGTGATTTGTCTGCCAAAGCCTCCCAAAGTGCTGGGATTACAAGCCTAAACAACCATGCCCAACCTGCGCTTTTCCACATGTTCTAATCTCATCTTTTTTCTTTTCTTTTCTTTTTTATTTATTTATTTATTTCGACACAAGGCCTTGCTCTGTCACCCAGCTAGAAGTGCAGTGGCCCAGTCATAGCTCACAGCACCCTTGAACTCCTAGGCTCAAGAGATCCTCCAACCTCAGCCTCTCAAGTAGCTGGGACTACAGGCGTGCGCCACCACACCCAGCTAATTTTTGTATTTTTAGTAGAGATGGGGTTTCACCTCGTTGACCAGGATGGTCTCGATCTCTTGACCTCGTGATCCACCTGCCTTGGCCTCCCAAAGTGCTGGGATTATAGGCGTGAGCCACCGTGCCCGGCCTCAAGGTTCTCTTTTTATCTTTCAACAATTTGATTATGATATGTCTAGTGATGGATATCTTTGAATTTATCCTAGTTGAAGATTGTTGAGCTTCTTGGCTCTATAGACTAATGGTTTTTTCCATCAGATTTTGGGAGTTCTCAGCCATTCTTTCTTCATATACTCTTTTTTACCCCTTCCTTTTTGTCCTCTGCTTCTGGGACTCCGATTATTTGATGATGTCTCACAGGTCTCTGAAGCTCTGTTCATTTTTCTTCATTCTTTTTTCTTTTTGTTCCTTAGGTTTGATCATCTCAACTCATCTATTCTCATATTCACTGACCTTTTCTTCCACCTACTTAAATCTTGCTGAACTCTCTGTTGAAGTTTTTCATTTTAGTTACTGTACTTTTCAAGTCCCAAATTTCTGTTTAGTTCTTTTAAAATAATTTCTGCTTTTAGGCCAGGCATGGTGGTTCACACCTCTAATCCCAGCACTCTGGGAGGCCAAGGTGGGTGGATCACTTGAGGTCAGGAGTTCAAGACTAGCCTGGCCAACATGCTGAAACCCCATCTATACTAAAAATAAAATACAAAATAAAAAATACAAAAATTTACTAGGTGTGGCAGCAGGCGCCTGCAATCCTAGTTACTCTGGAGGCTGAGTCAGGAGAATCGATAGAACCTGGGAGGTGGAGGTTGCAGTGAGCCAAGATGGCACCACTGCACTCCAGCCTGAGGAAGTGAGACTCCATCTCAAAAAACAATTCTACTTTAATTTTTATTCTCTATTTGGTGATACACTTTCTCATACTTTGATTTAGTTGTTTAGATGACTTCCTTTAGCTCTTTGAACATATTTTCAGGAGCTTATTTAAAGCAAGTTCAATGTCTAGACTTCCTGAGAAACTTTGTATTGATTGCTTTTTCCCTTCTTTATAAGCTATATTTTCTTTTTCTTCCTTTTTTTTTTTTTTTTCAAGACAGAGTTTCACTCTTATTGCCCGAGCTGAGTACAATGATGCTATCTTGGCTCACCACAACCTCCGCCTCCTGGGTTCAACCGATTCTCCTGCATCAGCCTCCTGAGTAGCTCAGATTACAGACATGCGTCACCACACCCAGCTAATTTTGTATTTTTAGTAGAGACAGGGTTTCTCCTTGTTGGTCAGTCTGGTCTCAAACTCTCCACCTCAGGTGATCTGCCCGCCTCGGCCTCCCAAAGTGCTGGGATTACAGGCATGAGTCACTGCGCCCTGCTATTTTCTTGTTTTTTTTTTTAATGTCTCGTAACTTTTTTTTTTGAAAACTGGACACTTTAAATAATATAATGTGGCAACTCTGAAATCAGATTCTAACCCCCAGCCAGGGTTTGTTGTTTTGTAGTTTGTTGCATAAAGGAGTTCCCAGGGACAAATGGCCTGGGTCATAGGATAGACATATGTTCAGCCTTAGGAGATGCTGGCATTGTGATTTTTTAAAAGAAGTAATTAGCGCCGGGCGCGGTGGCTCACGCCTGTAATCCCAGCACTTTGGGAGGCCAAGGCAGGTGGATCACGAGGTTAAGAGATCGAGACCATCCAGGTCAACATGGTGAAACCCCATCTCTACTAAACATACAAAAAATTAGCTGGGCATGGTGGCGTGTGCCTGTAATCCCAGCTACTCAGGAGGCTGAGGCAGGAGAATTTCCTGAACCCAGGAGGTGGAGGTTGCGGTGAGCCGAGATCGCGCCATTGCACTCCAGCCTGGGTAACAAGAGCGAAACTCTGTCTCAAAAAAAAAAAAAAAAAAAAAAGAAGTAATTAGCACCTCAACATTTATTGTTTTGAAGACTGACTTACGTAACAGTAAGAAATAATCATGAAAATTCAAGTTTGACATCAAAGTACACCAGCTTTCTGTTTCATAGTGAAACAGATACCTTTTATGACTGGTGGCATGTTAATGCCCCATTGATTGTTTTGCTTTGATTGGACATTTTATATAACTTGCAAATTTTAACAGTTACCAACTATCTGATAATGAAAATATTGGCCATGTGCCATGGCTCATGCCTGTAATCCCAGCACTTTGGGAGGCTGAGGTGGGCAGATCATTTGTGGTCAGGAGTTTGAGACCAGCCTGGCCAACATGGTGAAACCCCATCTCTGCTAAAAAAACTCAAAAATTAGCTGAGCGTGGTGGCGCATGCCTGTAATTCCAGCTACTCAGGAGGCTGAGGCAGCAGAATCGCTTGCACCTGGGAGGTGGAGGTTGCAGTGAGCAGAGATAGAGCCACTGCACTCCAGCCTGAGCGACAGAGACTCTGTCTCCAAAAAAAAAAAAAAAAAAGTCTGCTTATTAGCATGGCCTTATTATTTTGCAAATTGTTATTATTATTATTATTTTTTTTTGAGACAGAGTTTCGCTGTTGTTACCCAAACTGGAGTGCAATGGCACGATCTCGGCTCACTGCAACCTCCGCCTTCTGGGTTCAAGCAATTCTCCTGCCTCAGCCTCCCGAGTAGCTGGGATTACAGGCGTGCACCACCGTGCCCAGCTAATTTTTGTATTTTTAGTAGAGACGTGGTTTCACCATGTTGACCAGGATGGTCTCGATCTCTTGACCTCGTGATCCACCTGCCTCGTCCTCCCAAAGTGCTGGGATTATAGGCATGAGCCACCGCGCCCAGCCTATTTTGCAAATTATTTAAGCCCAGACTTACAAAGTGTACTTGTGTACTTTGTTTATGTACATTATTTATATTTTCTTTAATATGCATGTAAATAAAAAAGCTGTTCAAGCACAGTGGCTCACGCCTGTAATCCCAGCACTTTGGGAGGCTGAGGCGGGAGGATCACTTGAGGCCAGGGGTTTGAGACCAGCCTGGGCAACATAGACCCATCCCCCTACGCATTTCCAGAAAAACGATTTAAAAATCTAAAATGGGTTAAGTAAAACCAAATTAACCATTTTAATTGGAAAACATCTCATGTATCTTATTACCAAGTCTTGATTCTGGGATTTTCAGTGTCATTTGTTTGCCGAATTCGCAGACACCGCAAGGGGGAGCCATGGCTCCAACAGCAGAGGCAATAAACCGCCTAGCCTTGGGGTTGAGAAATTCCGGCGACGGTGTTGGGAGCCCCCACCATTTTCGCCTGCAGAGCCAGGCCTGCGCCGCGAGGGGGCGGCATCGGAGAGACCGCCGCGTCTCGGGAGCAGGCTGCAGGGCGCGGCTGCCCGCAGTACCAGCCCCAGAGGAGAAGCGCTGGCTGCGTCCCCATCCTCCCCGGAAGCGGTCTGATGATACCCATTTCGCAGATGGGCAAATGCAAAGGCGGAACCGGGATTTGAGCCTAGGTCTCTTTCATTCTGCAGCCTGAAGAAATAAATGTCTCTGCTTGCTCTGTGTGTGTTGGGGGCAACCGGGACTTTTCTGCAACCAAGCCCAGTGTGCCCCCTCTCATCTTATAGCACGTTCTTCTCCCGCTTGTGCTCATCGGAGACTCCCTTCACACACCTATCCTGGATGCCATCCTTCCGCCTCAGCCTTCTAAGCACCCCTTCCACCTGTCCCCTCAACTCCCCACTGCTCTGCCTCGGTCCAGCCCTGGGGTCGACAGGGGTCCCTGCCTGGACCTCCCCACGGGCTCCCTCTCAGAGGAGCAGCCACCTGCCAAGGTCACACAGCAGAAGAGGCACTTTTGGGATTCAAGACCCATCTATGGGTCCAAAGTGAATTTTTTTTTTCTTTGAGAAAGGGCCTGGCTCTGTCACTCAAGCTGGAGTGCAATGGCATGACCTTGGCTCACTGCAACTTCTATTGTCCAGGTTCAAGCGATCCTCCCACCTCAGCCTTCAGAGTAGCTAGGACCACAGGCATGAGCCACCACGACAGGCTAATTTTTTTTTGTATTTTTTGTAGAACCAGGGTTTCACCATGTTACTCAGTCTGGTCTCAAACTACTGAGTTCAAGCGATCCACCTACTTCAGTTTCCCAAAGTGCTGGAATTACAGGCCTGAGCCACTACACCCCACCCCGATTTGGATCTTGTTCCTGCTTCCAGGATGACCCATGTCCTGGCAAGAGAGATACCAGGTGGTGCTCGCACCCCTCCACCACCACGGGAGCCTGGGACCCAGAGGCCATGGGTCCTGAACAATCTGGAATTTCAGGTCTATAAATCATGGGGGTGGCAGGGAGCCCATCAAAGCTGTTCACCCATTCTGGCCTGCTGGCTCGGCCTCTTGTCCGTCCCCCCACACCACACACACCCTCCTTCCTTCCTGGGAGACTGGCCCAAGGAGGGGCCTGGGCGTATATAGGGAGCCACAGTGGGTGGGGCTGGCCAGAGAGGCTCCAGGGACAGAAGGTGAGGAGGGGGCTCTGGGAATCTGGGTACAGCATGGGGGCTCTGAGGCTCAGGAGGGGCAGTGCCCGGTACGGGCCAGTGACTGCCCCACCGGAGCCCAGGTGTCCTCTTCTGCAAAATGCCAGAACTGTGGGCAAAGTGGTACCAGCCTGGGCCCTGCAGAGAGCCAGAGCAAGCCCTGACAGCTGCGGAGGCTCAGAGCTGGCGATCTGTCTGGCCCTTTATGCTCCTGGTCTCATCCTGCTCCTGTGTCCCGGGCAGAATGGTGGTGTCTGCAGCGGCAGCAGAGGCCAAGAAGGGATCTCCAGTTGTGGTGGGCCTGCTGGTCATGGGCAACATCATTATTCTGGTGAGACCCGCCCAGGTGCTGGGAGCTGAGTGGGTGTGTGGTGGGGAGGGGGCAGTCCTGAGCTCAGGGTGAGGGTCCAGAACTGCCTTGAGGGCAGACTCAGCCGTCAGTGCAGCCTGGGTTTACACGCCAGCTCTGCCTCTCCCCAGCTCTGTGACCTTAGCAAGTGACTGTCCCTCTCTGTGCCTTCTTTCCTCATCTGTAGATTATGTCCTCATTGTGTGGGCTGTTGATGTGGATTAACCCATGCATGGCCCTCAGCTCAGGGAAAGCGCCTAGCCAATGCCGGCTATCACCGTCAACGTCACTGTGGACATGATGCGACCCCCTGGTGCATAGGCCACAACAAGAAGGAAAGACGACAGCGTCTTTCTTTCAATTAACATTGGGCTTTGGTTTTATGCTTGTTTCATTTTCGTTTTTTTTTTTTTTTTTTTAAACGGAGTCTCATTCTGTCACCCAGACTGGAGTGCAATGGCCAATCTCAGCTAACTGCAACCTCTGACTTCTGGGCTCAAGTGATTCTCCTGCCTCAGCCTCTGGAGTAGCTGGGATTACAGGTGCCCACCCCCCTCCCCCCAGCTAATTTGTTTTTTTGAGACGGATTCTCACTCTGTCACCCAAGCTGAACTGCAGCGGTGAGATCTTGGCTCACTGCAACCTCCACCTCCCAGTCTCAAGTGATTCTCCTGCCTCAGCCTCTCAAGCAGCTGGGATTACAGGCTTGTGCTACCATGCCCAGCTAATTTTGTATTTTGTAGTAGAGACGGGGTTTCTTCATATTGGAGTACAGGTGTGTGCCACCACACCCAGCTGCTTTTTGTATTTTTGGCAGAGACAGGGTTTCACCATGTTGGCCAGACTGATCTCAAACTCCTGACCTCAGGTGATCCACCCACCTCGGCCTCCCAAAGTGTTGGGATTACAGGTGTGAGCCACCTCGCCTGGCCTTGTGTTTGTTTTAGAGGCGGGGTCTATCTCTGTTGCCCAGACTGCAGTGCAGTGGTGTGATCCTAGCTCACTGCAGCCTCTCGCCTTAGCCCCCTGAGTAGCTGGGACTACAGGTGCACATCACCACATCTGGCTAAATATTTTATTTTTTGTAGAGATGGGCTCTCACTATGTTACCCAGGCTGGTCTCAAACTCCTGGGCTCAAGCAATCCTCCCACCTCGGCCTCCCACAGTGTGCTGGGATTATAGGGGTGAGCCATCTTGCCTGGCATATTTGTAGTATTTATGGCCATGGTTATGTCGCCTTCTCAGGGAATAACAACATCGTCAAGGGAGGGCAGACAGATAGACTGTCTTCTCTGTGCCAGGCTGCTGTTCCAGCCTTTCATCCTTGAAGCAACTGGCAGCTGGGGCTTGGGGGTCGGAGGTCTGGCTGGGCCACCTCTTCTCTCCTGGCCTCTGTTCACCCTGATCACTGCTCATGGAAGGGGAGGTCTTTGCCTGCCTTACTGAGAGGGCAGTGGAGGCTCCGAATGGGGAAGAAACTTGCTCATGGAGATGCCTGGTGCCAGGGCTGTTGGTCCCGAGCAGACCTTTCTAACCCACCGCTCTGTCAGCTGTCAGGCCTGGCCCTGTTTGCCGAGACAGTATGGGTGACAGCTGACCAGTACCGTGTGTACCCACTGATGGGCGTCTCGGGCAAGGATGATGTCTTCGCTGGTGCCTGGATCGCCATCTTCTGTGGCTTCTCCTTCTTCGTGGTCGCCAGCTTTGGTGTAGGTGCCACTCTCTGCCGCCGCCGGTCCATGGTCCTCACGGTAAGGCCCGGGGGAGGGGGGAGGGGGACACTGGAAGCCAGTTCAGTGGCAGGCGCCTCGCCAGCCACCAGCATGAGTTCCCCACAGTGCCACACTCCCCAGGCATCATCTCACTCAGTCCTCCCACAGTCCAATAACCCAGGCCCAGCAGTTACCCGTTTCACAAAGAAACCAGGGCATAGGGGGAGGAGCAGGGCTCTGCACAGAGAGGACTTGAGTAGCAGGGCTGAGTTTTTGTTTTTTGTTTTTGGTAAAGATGCGGGGGGGGGCTCACTATGTTGCCCACGCTGGTCTTGAACTCCTGGCTCAAATGATTCTTGCAACTCGGCCTCCCAAAGTGCTGGGATTACAGGTGTGAGCCACCCCACCTGCACCCAGTGCAGGGCTGGGCTTTGAACCCCTGCTAGCTGCTCTCCAGAGTCTGTGCTCATGAACTCTGCCAATAACAGCACAGCTACCATTTAATAGGTGTTTACTACATGCCACGAGCTGTTCTACAGGGTTTTCTGGATTAGTTCATTTATCCCTTACAGTCCACCAAGAGGTACCATCATCAGCATGACCCTGTTTGATGGAGACTGAAACTGAGGCTCAGAGAGGTGAAGTCACTTATCCAGGGTCACACAGCAAGACAGTGGCAGAGCCAGTTTCAACCTGAGAAGACTGGCTCTTGAGTCTGTGCTCTTAATCTCTGCCCACAACCGTAACCCACATTTCACAAGTGCCTAACCTAGGGTAAGCACAGTTAGAGTTAGGTGGTGGCTCACGCCTGTAATCCCAACACTTTGGGAGGCTGAGGCAGACAGATCACTTGAGGTCAGGAGTCCGAGACCAGACTGGCCAACATGGTGAAACCCCATTTCTACAAAAAAAAAAAAAAAAAAATTAGCCAGGCATGGTGGCAGGCACCTGTAATCCCAGCTACTGGGGTGGCTGGGGCAGGAGAATCACATGAACCCTGGACTCCAGCCTGGATGACAGAGCAAGCCTGCATCTCAAAAAATAAAAAAAAAATGAGCTTCCTCAGTCCTCCCAAAAGCCCTTCACAGTTAGTGCTTTTCAACCCATTTACCAGATGAGGAAACTGAGGCTCACAGAGGCCAATAGCCTCTCCCAGGTGACCAAGAGAGCAGGGATTCCAATCCAGGCCCAAATGATACAGAGACAGCACTGTGCTTCCTCGACACCCTCGGGTTTTTCAGATTCCCAGGAGAAGCTAGTCATCTGATGAACATGCTCATGAGCAGGAGCTTTGTGCCGAGCCCTACACTGGGCACTGGGGCTCTGTGCTGAGCAAGACATAAAAGCCCTTGACCTAGGGGAGCAGCGCTCAGAGGAAGAAGACAGTGAACAGGAGGGAGGTCAGGAGCCAGGGGAGGGCGAGGGAAGACCTCACTGCCAGGGAAAGCAAAGGTCTAGAGGCACTGGGGGTGAGGCAGGTGTCTAACTGGAGGAAGAGCCTTCCAGGTGGGTGGCAGCAAGGGCAAAGGTGCTGAGGACAGAGCGGACCAAGAGTCCAAAGCAGCTGGAGCTGAGTGAGGAGGAGGTTGGGGGGTGAGAGGAAATAAGGCAGACAGGTGAGGAGGAGAACAGTGATGGGGGATGGGAAAGAAGCAGGCAGGAGGTGGGTACTATGGACTTTGGCTTTATCCTGAGTAAGATGGAGCCATAGACTCCCTCCCTCTCTCCCTCCCTCCTTCCCTCCCTCCCTTCCTCCTTTCTTCCTTCCATTTGTTTTTCTTTTTCTTACTCTGTTGCCCAGGCTGGAGTGCAGTGGTGCGATCTTGTAACTTCTGCCTCCCAGGTTCAAGTGATTCTCCTGCCTCAGCCTCCTGAGTAGCTGGGATTACACGCTTGTGCCACCACAGCTAGCTAATTTTTTGTATTTTTAGTAGAGATGGGGTTTCACCATGTTGGTCAGGCTAGTCTCGAAATCCTGATATCGTGATCCACCCGCCTCTGCCTCCCAAAGTGCTGGGATTACAGGTGTGAGCCACTGTGCCTGGCCACATCCATTTGCTTTTCTAGACAGGGTCTCACTCTGTTGCCCACTCCTTCCTTCCTTCCTTCCTTCCTTCCTTCCTTCCTTCCTTCCTTCCTTCCTACCTACCTCCCTCCTTCCTTTCCTTCCTTACTTCCTTCTTCCCTCCGTCCTTCCTTCCTTCCTTCCTTCCTTCCTTCCTTCCTTCCTTCCTTCCTTCCTTCCTCCTTCCTTCCTTCCTTTCCTTCCTTCCTTCCTTGTTTTTCTAAATAAGGTCTCACTCTGTTGTCCAGGCTGGAGTTAGTGGCACAATCATAGTTAATTGCAGCCTCAAACTCTTGGGCTCAAATGATCCTCCCATCTCAGCCTCCCAATAAGCTGGGACTACAGGTGTGCACCACCACGTACAGCTAATTTTTCTATTTTTTTTGTCAAGATAGAGTCTCACTATGTTGCCCAGACTGGTCTCAAACTCCTGGCCTCAGGTGAGCCTCCCAAAGTGCTGGGATTACAGGCATGAGCTGCCACACCTGCCCTCTTATTTTCTTATCCTGTATTTAATTCTCTGGCATAACAATTTAACAAAAGCCCTAAAAATTCATCCAACTATTTTTAAAAATGTGTTTGTGTCTGTCTTCCCTATTAGTTTTTTTTTTTTTTTTTTTTTAGATGTATTCTCTCTCTGTCACCCAGGCTGGGGTGCAATGGTGTGATCTCAGCTCACTGAAACCTCTGCCTCCCAGGTTCAAGTGATTCTCCTGCCTCAGCCTCCCAAGTAGCTGGGATTACAGGTGCCCACCACCCCACCCAGCTAATTTTTGTATTTTTAGTAGAGATGGAGTTTCACCATGTTGGTCAGGCTGGTCTTGAACTCCTGACCTTGTGATCTGCCCACCTTGGCCTCCCAAAGTGCTGGGATTACAGGCGTGAGGCACCGCACCAGCCTTTCTTTCCAAATGTCTTATGGGAAATTTCTAATGTAGACTAGAGTACGTGGTGTCTGAGCCCAGCACACCTCTCACCTGACTTCAGCAATATCAGTCACGGACTGCCCACATTGTCTCCTCTATCCCCTTTCTCCCAGACTTTTCTTCTGGGTATCTTGAAGCACATTCTAGATGTCAAGTCACTTACCTGTAAGTACTGGAGTGCACATATCTCTGAGTGATAAGCACATTGTTTTAAAGCAGTCGGGTTGTGTTGTGTGATGTCATCCCGTCTCCCAGCAGCAGAGTTCACACATCCACACACAACCTCCTGTTGCTTTATAGGTGAAGGTGCAGGGGAGGACAGGAAAAGAAATTTCATCAAACATCAACTGTTGAGCTTTTTTTTTTTTCTCCTACCCTCCATGTCGTTGACACAATCCACCAAGTTCACCCAAGTTCCTTTATATCTTCCAACACCTAGTCTGTGTCAAATGTCTCTGGTTATCTGAGAACATCATATTATGTTTGTTTGTTTTGTTTTAAGAAACAGGGTCTCTATCTGTCACCTGGGCTGAAGTGCAGTGGTGTGACCTCGGCTCACTGCAGCCTCTGCCTCCTGGGTTCAAGCGATTCTCCTACTCAGCCTCCCAAGTAGCTAGGACTACAGGCACGTGCCACCATGCCCAGCTAATCTTTGTATTTTTAATAGAGACAGGGTTTTGCCATGGTGGCCCAGCTGGTCATGAACTCTTGACCTCAAGTGATCCACCCACCTCGGCCTCCAAAGTGCTGGGATTACAGGGGTGAGCCACCACGCTTGACCCAAAGTTTTGTATTTTTAGTAGAGATGAGGTTTCACCATGTTGGCCAGGCTGGTCTTGAGCTCTTGACCTCAGGTGATGGCCCCCTTGGCCTCCCAAAGTGCCGGGATTACAGGCATGAGCCACCCACCATGCCTAGCCTATCTCAAAAATAATTAAATATTTCAAACATACAGAAAAGTTGGAAGACTTATACAGCAAACACCTGAATACCCACCATATATTACAGATGCTACTATTCACACTGCCCTAAACTTTTTAAAAAGTTGCATTTCCACAACGATGCGTTCCTGGTGGGGGTGTGGCTTCACCGGCTCTGCCCGACGCGCCGTCCTCCCTCTGATCTCCCCAGTACCTGGTGCTCATGCTCATCGTCTTCATCTTCGAGTGCGCCTCGTGCATCACGTCCTATACCCACCGTGACTACGTGAGCGGGGCGAGGCCCGGGGAGAGGCCTGACCTGTGTGGGAGGGGCGAGGGTCCGGTGCTGCGGGTCAGAGGTCACCCCGGGTCCCCACCCAACAGCCCTGCCGACCCCTGTTCTCTCTCTGCAGATGGTGTCTAATCCATCCCTGATCACCAAGCAGATGCTGACCTTCTACAGCGCGGACACGGAACAGGGCCAGGAGCTGACCCGCCTCTGGGACCGTGTCATGATTGAGGTGGGCCCGGTGGACCGGTTCTGGGAGGGCCTGGGGCTCCCGCTATATCCTCTTGTAGAGGAGTGAGTGCCTTAAAGACATCACTCATGAGATGGCTAGGAGAGCAGGGCTGCCGTCATCACCGTTCTCCAGGTGAGTAAACAGGCCCAGAAAGAGGAAGTCCCTTGCCCGAGGCCATGCAGTAGAGCTGGGACTGGAAGCGGCAGCCTGGCTCCAGAGCCCCTCCCTTAGCCTACACACAGCACCTCAACGGAAATGTTGACAGTGCTAACAGTGATAGTAACGGCACCATTCACGGAGCACTAACGTGTGTTTGACACTGTTCAAAGGACTTTTATTTTCGTATTTTGAGATGGAGTCTTGCCCTGTTGCTCAGGCTGGAGTGCAGTGGGGTGATCATAGCTCACTGCAGCCTCCAACTCCTGGGCTCTAGTGATCTGATCGTCCCACCTCAACCTCCCAAGTAGCTGGGAATACAGGTGCACCTCACCACACCCGGCTAAGTTTTTTTAATTGTTTTTTGTGGAGACAGGGTCTTGCTCTATTGACTAGGCTGGTCTCGAACTCCTGGGCTCAGGATTTGAGTGATTCTCCTGCCTCAGCCTCCCAAACTGCTGGGATTACAGGCATGAGTCACCAGTGCCTGTCCTCAAAGCACTTTTAGAGCTTATTTAATCCGCACTACCACGCCATAAGAGAGATCACCTTTTTAGTGAGGAGGAGACCAAAGAAGGAGGTTGAATATCTTGGATGAGGTCACACAGCTGGCAGGTCACAGAACTGGGAGGACTCAAACTCAGACTGCCAGGTTTGAAGAGATACACCCTTCATCAAATCCAACTTGATACTGCATTGGAGGAGGAAGATTGGCTGGATGCAGTGGCTCATGGCTCACACCTATCATACCAACACTTTGGGAGGCCGAGGCGGGCAGATTACTTGAGGCCACGGGTTCGAGACTATCCTGGCCAACATGGTAAAACCCTGTATCTACAAAAAATACAAAAATTAGTCAGGTATAGTGGCGTACACCTGTGATTCCAGCTACTCGGGAGGCTGAGGCAGGAGAATGGCTTGAACCCAGGGTGCGGAGTTTGTAGTGAGCTGAGATCGAGCCACTGCACTCCAGCCTGGGTGACAGAGGGAGACTCTGTTGCCAAAAAAAAAAAAAAAAAAAAGGAAGAAATTGAGAACTTAAGAAAAACCCAAGTCCTCTAGCTAGCCAGGATTTGAACCCATGTTTGAAGGATGTCCAAACCTATGTTTTCCCGATTCAGGAGCCACAAATGAAACACCTGGATTTCTTACCAAGGCCAGGAAAAGCCAGACATCTGTCCTTTATGTATCATTTCATCAGCATAATTGTTGATAAAAAGTATTTTATTGTATTTTTTGAGACGGAGTTTCGCTCTTGATTCCCAGGCTGGAGTGCAGTGGCATGATCTTGGTTCACTGCAACCTCCGCCTCCTGGGTTCAAGCGATTCTCCTGACTGAGCCTCCCGAGTAGCTGGGATTACAGGCGCACATGACCACGCCCGGCTGATTTTGTATTTTCAGTAGCGATGGGGTTTCATCATGTGGGTCATGCTGGTCTTGAACTCCTGACCTCAGGTGATCCACCTGCCTTGGCCTCCCAAAATGCTGGGATTACCAGCGTGAGACACTACACCCGGCAAAAATATTTGAAAGTAAGTCAGAGGTGCGGGTTTGATCCAAATCCCCCATGAGCCTCCTGGTCCTGGGAGGAATATCGTCTGCTCTGTGCTCACACACACAGACACCACCTGACACACTCGCTTGGAGGCCCAGGACATGGGGAAGTTGGCTCCAGCTGTGTCAAAGGCCAACCCTGCGTCTCTTTGCTGTGTGACGTCAGGCAAGTGACTGTCCTCTCTGAGCCCGAGCCTGCCTGACCCTCCGCCTTTCTCTCCAGCAAGAATGCTGTGGCACATCTGGTCCCATGGACTGGGTGAACTTCACGTCGGCCTTCCGGGCAGCCACTCCAGAGGTGGTGTTCCCCTGGCCCCCACTGTGCTGTCGCCGGTCAGGAAACTTCATCCCCCTCAATGAGGAGGGTTGCCGCCTGGGCCACATGGATTACCTGTTCACCAAGGTGTGGCCCTCTGCCCTGCTGCCCCTGTCTGTCCATCTGTCTGTCTTCTTCTGGTCACTGTTCCCTCTCTGATTCTATGTCCTTCTGCCACCCTGTGGCTGTCTGTCTAGCTTTTTCCCTCTCCTCCTCCCCTCTCTGATTTTCTTCTTTTCTTTTATATTTTTGAGACCAAGTCTTGCTCTGTCGCCCAGGCTGGAGTGCAGTGGCACTATCTTGACTCACTGCAGCCCCTGCCTCCCGGTTCAAGCAATTCTCTCACCTCAGCCTCCAGAGCAGCTGAGATTACAGGGGCATGCTACCCTCCCAGCTAATTTTTGTGTTTTTAGTAGAGATGGAGTTTCACCATATTGGCCAGGCTGGTCTCAAACTCCTGACCTCAAGTGATTTGTCTGCCTCGGCCTCCCAAAGTGCTGGGATTACAGGCATGAGCCACTGTGCTGGGACCCCTCTCTGATTTTCTTGTGCTCTCCCAACTCTCTCAAGTCAGCAGGATGAACCCAGGGTCTGTCTGATCCAGACCTGGCACCTACAACTTTGCTCAGCCTGTCCAGGGATAAGAGCAACAAAGGGCTGGGCGAAATGGCTCACTCCTGTAATCCCAGAACTTTGGGAGGCCTAGGTGTGCAAATCACTTGAGGTCAGAAGTTTGAGACCAGCCTGACCAACATGGCAAAACCCCATCTCTACTAAAAATACAAAAATTATCCGGGCACGGTGGCATGTGCCTGTAATTTCAGCTACTCGGGAGGCTGAGGTGCGAGAATCACTTGAACCCAGGAGATAAAGGTTGCAGTGAGCCAAGATTGCACCACTGCACTCCAGCCTGGGTGACAGAGTGAAACTCTGTCTCAAACCAAACAAAACATCAAACAAAAGAAAACAAAACAATAGGCCTGGGCGGGGTGGCTCATGCCTGTAATCCCAGCACTTTGGGAGGCCAAGGCAGGAGGATCGCTTGAGGTCAGGAGCTCAAGACCAGCCTGGGCAACATATCAAGACCCAGTGCCTACAAAAAATTAGCCAGGAGTAGTGGTGTGCGCCTGTAACCCCAGCTACTGGGGAGGCTAAGGCAGGAGGATCATTTGAGCCTAGGAGGTCAATGCTGCAGTGAGCTGTGATGGTGCCACTGCACTCTAGCCCAGGCAACAGAGACTCAAAAAAAAAAAAGGAAAGCCAGTTGTAAGCAAAATCACCCTCAGACTGTCATAGCCATCAGCAGCCAGCACCTACTTGTTCAGGGCTCAGGTTCAACATCAGCTCCCTGGGGCCCCAAAACCACCTGAGGAGGTGGATAGTGCCATGGCCCCCATTGCACAGGTGAGAAAACTGAGGCTCAGGGAAGGCAATGACTTTCCCAAAGGCGCACAGGGACTCTCGCCTTCATCGGCCAGCCTCATGGGCATTCTTCTCAAAACTCCTCCACCCCCTGCTCAGGGCTGCTTCGAGCACATCGGCCATGCCATCGACAGCTACACGTGGGGCATCTCGTGGTTTGGGTTTGCCATCCTGATGTGGACGGTGAGAGACGGGGAGCCCGCAGGCTGGGCGGGCTGGGGGTGGGGGGCGGAGTGCCCTCATCTCGCTGCCTCCTTGCCAGCTCCCGGTCATGCTGATAGCCATGTATTTCTACACCACACTCTGAGGGACAAGAGGGGAAGGCCACATATGCACCCCAGCCTCCTCCACGTCCTCCTCCTGCTTCATCCACTGGGGCCTGGATGGCTGCCTCACCTCTCCCCTCTGACCTCCCTAGCCCCTCCCTCTTTCCACATCCAGGATCTTTTTCCGGGATCCTGAGCCCTACTGTGCCTCGGGTGTGCCCTGAAACCCAGGGCTTGTGTGCTCGGATCCTTGGCCCTTGACCTCATTCCAATCAGCTGGTTCCTGCCCATCTTTCAAGGGACCTCTACCTGATCCCAGCTCTTGTAGCTCTCTGAGCTCCTCCTTCCCAGCAGGTGTCGCCGTTCTTGCTGATTGTCATTTGCTTTGTCAACACTGTTCTTGCTGTTTGTGATTGTCATTTAAGCTCTGGAAGCCTCGATTGCTGTGAGAGCCTGTCATGGTCACTTTACTGTCCCCATCATCACCCAGCATGGGGCTGAGCACTTACTAGATACTCAATAAATAATGAATGGATGAATGAATGAATGAGTTTGTTTTCTTCTGGGTCAAGGGAGACTGAACAAGAACTGTTCTAGGCCGGGCGCAGTGGCTCACACCTGTAATCCCAGCACTTTGGGAGACCAAGGTGGGCAGATCACCTGAGGTCATGAGTTCGAGACCAGCCTGGCCAAAATGGTGAGAGCCCCCCCCAATCTCTGCAAAAATGTAAAAATTAGCCAGGTAAGGTGGTACAGATCTCTAATTCCAGCTACTCTGGAGGCTGAGGCAGAAGAATCTCTGGAACCCAGGAGGTAGAAGTTGTAGTGAGCCAAGATCGCACCATTGCACTCCAACCTGGGTGACAAAGCGAGGCCCCATCTCCAAAGGAAAAAAAGAAACCGTTCTGATGGAAGTGGCAGAAACCCAAGTGTCACTGACCAAAGCACAAAATGGAATTTATCAGCTCATGTAACTGAGTTAATGGGGCTGGCTTCAGGCATGTCTGGATCCAGGTGTTCAATCTAAGTGTCCAGGAAACCTGCTTCATTCTCAGACAGGATTTCTCTGGCAACTCCAGACTTAGGTCTTTATGACTAAGCAACGCAACAGAGAGAAAGAGCCTCTCTCCCAAGGGCTGTAGCCAAGGTCCAGAGTTGAATCTCGCTGTCTTGGCTTAGGTTCTAGGCCCATCGTTAGGTTGGGAAAGGGAGGGCATCTGGCTTGCTGACCCTGCATGCAGTGGCTGTGTTGGAAGGGGACTTGTTTATCAAAGGAAAATCCAGGTACCGGGCTCTTGAGACTTTACGTGATAAACAGCCTTCTGCTAGGAATACAGTTTCCAGCAAGTTCTCTCAGGGGTCCAAGACAGCAAACCATTAAGAATCAAATTGTGGTCAGGAACAGTGAGTGGCTCACACCTGTAATCCCAGCACTTGCTGAGGCAGGCAGATCACTTGAGGCCAGGAGTTTGAGACCAGCCTGGTCAATATGGTGAAGCCCTGTCTCTACTAAAAATACAAAAGAGTGCCCGGGCATGGTGGTGGGCACTTTAGTCCCAGCTACTCAGGAGGCTGAAGCAGGAGAATTGCTTGAACCTGGGAAGCAGAGGTTGCAGTGAGCCGAGATCGAGCCATTGCACTCCAGCCTGGGCTACAGAGCTCAATTGAGTCTTAAAAAAAAAAAAAATACACACACACATACATATAAATAAATAATTATAATAATTGTTTTGAGACAGAATTTTGCTCTTGTTGCCCAGGCTCGAGTGCAGTGATGCAATCTTGGGTCACCAGAACCTCCGCCTCCCGGCTTCAAGTGATTCTCCTGCTTCAGCCTCCTGAGTAGCTAGGATTACAGGCATGTGCCACCACGCCCAGCTAATTTTTTATTTTTAGTAGAGACAGGATTTCTCCATGTTGGTCAGGCTGGTCTCCAACTCCCGACTTCAGGTGATCCACCCACCTCAGCCTCCCAAAGTGCTGGGATTACAGGTGTGAGCCACCATGCCCAGCATAATAAATAATTTTTATAGGACACAGCTGTATGTGAGTTGATTATAAAAAGATGTCATAATAACTGGAAAGCCCATGTGAGGATGTTCATTACACTAACCTCAATGACCATCAGTAGGGAACTGGGTAAATTAACTATGCTATGTCCATCCTCTGGAATACCACATAGTGGTAGAAAAAGTAATGCTTGAACCTGGAAGGCAGAGGTTGCAGTGAGCCAAAATCGTGCCACTGCACTTTAGCCTGGGTGGCAGAGCAAGACTCCGTCTCAAAAAAAAAAAAAAAAAAAAATCACACTGCAAAAGAATATTTAATGGCATGAAAAAAATACTTGGGAAATTGTGACATGAGAAAAAAATTACAATGTAGCCAAGTGTGATTCCTTCTCTGATAAAAATATAACTATGTACACGCTTGCATTTTTTAAAGAAGGTCTTCCAAAGGTTATTGAGGAAGAGGACACATTTGCAGGGGATTTTTATTTCATTACTTGGGCATTTCGGTATTTTCCAAATATTCTATGATGATTACTGCCTTTGTCCTCCAACAAAAATGAAATAAATCTTAATTAAAATGTCACTGCTGGACATAAAATGTACAATGAGAAGGGAATTATTCTACTAAATATTTTCAAACTTTATCTGAGCAGTTAAGACAGGCCAGGGCTGGGTGCAGTGGCTCACACCTGTAATCCCAGCATTTTGGGAGGTCGAAGCAGGAGGATTGCTTGAGGCCAGGAGTTCAAGACCAGCCTGGCCAACATAGTGAGACCTCATCTCTCCAAAAAGAATGTAAAAATCAGCTGGGCATAGTGGTTTGCACCTGTAGTCCCAGCTACTCGGGAAGCTGAGGGAGGTAGATTGCTTGAACCCAGGAGGTAGGGGTTGTAGTGAGCTGTGATGGTGCCACTGCATTCCAGCCTGGACAACAGCAAGACCCTGTCCCCCCTGCCCCCGCCAAAAAAAGGCCAGGACTTGCCAGATGGGGAGCTGGGTGGTTGATCTGCCCTCTGCCCTCTGGGCAGTCAGGAAGGCAGGCTGCCGTCTCTGACTCACATCTGCCACTCGGCTTTCTAGCTCCCTGACTACATACCTGCATAGTGTGGCTCAGTCAGATCGGTAGTGGCGTGGCCTCACCCAGGCGGCTGTAGGACAGGTTTGTCTGCCCCAGTCCCCAAACTCAGAGGCCCACTCCTGTGGGTGAGAGGGGAGCAAAGAGGTCAGGGCTAGGTCAGGGCCCGGACCCCTTCAGGGCCAGGCAGCCATTCAATAGCTGTTCCCCCAACACCTCCAGCTGACTGCCTCTAACCCTCCATGGCTCCCCAGCACCCTCCTCACCTCGCACTGAGGGGCCCGTGTGGCTTGGTCCCTTGCCACCTCTCCAGATAGCTCCCTCTATCCTGCTCCACTGAGCCAAGCTCTCTCACCATCTGAGATCAGAGAATGGAAATAAGAAACCGTGTTATATAATGAGCAGGGCACACGCCTCTGACTACATCCACTTTTGCTTAGACTCCTTCCATGAGAGCAAGTTATTGTTTTGTTTTGTTTTGTTAGTAAAATGTAAAGACCCACACCCCTGCCCTTTCCTCAGGCATCTGGTGCCCACCAGTTCCTCCTCTCTGGTCACCATGTCCTTGGCTGGCGTCAGAAGAATAGGTGTAAACTTCCTAGTACATAAGAAGATCTGGTTTGACAAGTTCGAATACAGTGATGCAGAAAGGAAATTTTATGGGCAGATGAATGGGCCTGCTGTGGCCGGCACCTTCTGCCAGATCAGTGCCAGCGTGATCCTCTGTGACACTGCGAGGGTGAGAGAGAACATCCAGAAATCCCTGGCCGGAAGCTCAGACCCTGGGGCCTCCAGCAGCCCCAGTGCAAACCACAGCGAGCTGGTGGTCCCAATCGCGAGCCTGGAAGTGGAGAAGCCCAGCCTGTGCGGGCGTAATGCAGGAGCTGCAGCCCGTGTGTCTCCAAGCTGAAGGCCGAGCCTGCCGAGCATGATGACTTTGACCTGTTTGGCAGCAACAATGACAGGAGGACAGGGAGGCAGCGTGGCTGCAGAAGGAGCAGCTGCGGCGGCCCGCGGAGAAGAAGGTCAAGAAGGCCAGGCGCAGTGGCTCATGCCTGTAATCCCAGCACTTTGGGAGGCCAGGTAGATGGATCACCTTAGGTCAGGAGTTCAAGACCAGCCCAGCCAATGTCGTGAAACCCTGTCGCTACTAAAAATACAAAATTAGCCAGGTGAGATGGCTCATGCTTTTAATCCCAGATCCTTGGGAGGTAGGAAAATGGCTTTAATCTGGGAAGCAGAGGTTGCAGTGAGCCGAGATTGAGCCACTGTACTCCAGCCTGGGAAACAGAGCGAGACTCTGTCTCAAAAAAGAAAAGTCCAAGAAGTTGTGCTGGTGGCCAAATCCTCCATCCTGCTGGACGTGAAGCCTTGGGACGATAAGAGGGACATGGCTCAGCTGGAGACCTGTGTGTGCTCCATCCAGCTGGATGGGCTGCTCTGGTGGGCCTCCAAGCTCATGCACGTGGGCTACAGTATCTGGAAGCTGCAGATAGACCATGATTAAAAACAGAACGGCAAGAAAAAAAAAAAAACACATCCCTTTGACCCACCTGACTCTGCTTCTGGGAGTCTATGCTGTACATGCAAAACCTATGCACCAGGGTAATGGAAAAGCAGAAACTAAGACATCCTGGGCTGGGCATGGCAGCTCATGCCTGGAATCCTAGCACTTTGGGAGCCCAAGGTGGGAGGATTGCATGTCCCCAGGAACCCAGTCTAGGCAATATAGTGAGACCCCATCTCTATTATATTAAAATTAAAAAAAAAAAAAAAAAAGAAGAAGAGGTCAAGGCAGGCAGATCACTTGAAGTCAGGAGTTCGAGACCAGCCTGGCCAACATAGTGAGACCCTGTCTTTACTAAAAATACAAAAATCCACTGGGTGTGGTGGCACATGCCTGTAATCCCAGCTACTCGGGAGGCTGAGGCAGGAGAATCACTTGAACCCAGGAGGTGGAGGTAGGCCACTGCACTCCAGCCTAGGGGGCAGAGCTAGACTCTGTCTCAAAACAAACAAACAAAAAAACAGTGAGAGGGCCTGGTTCGCCCTCTGGACTGTTTCCCATTGTCCACATTTGACGCCGTGCTGTGCCATCATCACATGTGGGGTCAGGAAAGCAACAGCGCTGATTCCGGGACACACGCCAGCCCTTGGAGCAGGGGTGGAGTCAGCTCCATCCACAGGGTCTGACCAGCCTGGGAGCGGGGAGGGGTTGCTTATCCAGGGCAGGCTCTGAGCCTGAGCCTTCCCAGGTGAGCCAACCCTAGAGACAAATGGACCACCCCCCCCCCCCCCCCCCCCGTCAACCTTCCTCCCAGCGATTCTGGGATAAATGACACAGACAGCACTGAGAATTCCATGGTAGTCGCTATTACTTCTGTCATTTTTATTAATAGCAGGGGCCCCATCATTCACCTGTGGGTTATCCATTTATTACCTCTCAGTTCCTTTTGTCACCTGGTGCCAGGTTAGACTTTGTCAATAGAGGGTGCTGGAGAGCCACTGAGGAGCCAGGGCCTCTCTGCCTCCTTCGTACTGGGCTGTGACCAGCAAGTGGCTGTTATGCTCCACATTACAGGGGGCAACCTCCAATGCTGCCCTCCTCTTTCTCCTCCTCCTCCCAGTTCTTCCTCCCCCTCCTCCCCTTCCCCTTTCTCCTTTCCACTCTTCCTTCTCCTTCCCCCTTCTCCTCCTCCCTCCTCCTCCTCTTTTCTTTAAATCTCTCTTCCTTTGTCCTCCTTCTTTCTCCCTCCTCCTTCCCTTTTCCTCCTCCTCCTCTTTCCTCCTCCTTCCTCCTCTTCCTCATTCTTCTTCCTCCCCCTTCTCCTTCTTCTTTTAAGAGATGGGGTAACAGCTGGGGCTGCAAATGAAAAAAAAAGAAAAAAAAAAAAAAGAGATGGGGTCTCAGTTGGGTGCGGTGGCTCATACCTGTAATCCCAGCAATTTGGGAAGCCAAGGTGGATGAATCACGAAGTCGGGAGTTCAAGACCAGCCTGGCCAACATGGTGAAATGCTGTCTCTACTAAAAACACAAAAAATTGGCTGAGTGTGGTGACTGGCGCCTGTAATCCCAGCTACTCGGGAGTCTGAGGCAAGGCAGAGAATTGCTTGAACCCGGAAAGCAGAGGTTGCAGTGAGCTATCACCACTGCACTCCAGCCTGGGTGACAGAGTGAGACTCTGTCTAAAAAAAAAAAAAAAGAGAGAGAGAGAGAGAGATGGGGTCTCAGCCAGGCACAATGACTCACACCTGTAAACCCACCTGTAATCCCTCACTTTGGGAGGCCAAGACAGGAAGATCACTTGAGCCCAGGAGTTTGAGGCTGCAGTGAGCTATGGTAGCACCACTGGACTCCAGCCTGGGCAAAAGAGGTAGACCCTGTCTCAAAAAGAGAGAGAGAATAAGAGATGGGACCTCACCGTGTTGCCCAGGCTGGAGTGCAGTGGCAGGACCATAGCTCTGCAGAGCTGTCTTGAGTCTGGCCAGGGACTTGCCACTTAACCCAAGAGATTATTGAAAACATGATGTAGAATCATTGTTTCTCACGGAATTGGCTGCCTTCTCAGATTCTCTGCAAATGGAAGCAGAAATTTGCAAAATAGTTTCCCTATTTTGTAAAAGGACAAGAAAGTGGTCTTTTCGCAGAGCTACTCCCAGCCCTGCTGGACAAAATGATCAAACTAGGATCCCTGGTATTTAAGTTCCTCTCATGAAAATCCATTCAGAAAATTGAGGACATGTTGGGAGGCTGAGATGTGAGGATTGTTTGAGGCCAGGAATTCAAGACCAGCCTGGGCAACAGAACAAGGCCCTGTCTCAAAACATACACACACGCGCACACACACACACACACACACACCTACACCCAGAGTCAAGGCAAGTGATATTTGTTGTCTAAAAACAACTCCGGGTTGGGCATGGTGGTTCACACCTGTAATCCCAGCACTTTAGGAGGTTGAGGCGGGTGGATCACCTGACATCAGGAGTTGGAGACCAGTCTGGTCAACATGGTGAAACCCCATGAATACAAAAACTAGCTGGGCGTGGTGGTGCGTGCCTGTAATCCCAGCCACTTGGGAAGCTGAGGGAGGTGGAGGCTGCAGTGAGCTGAGATCACCACATGCCCAGCCCAAGACAGATACTTTAAAAGAGTAAATTGGTCAGGAACAGTGGCTCACGCCTGTAATCCCAGCTCTTTGAGAGGTCGAAGCAGGCAAATCCCTTGAGGTCAGGAGTTTGAGACCAGCCTGGCCAACATGGTGAAACACTGCCTCTACTAAAAATACAAAAATAAGCCAGGAGTGATGGCAGGTGCCTGCAAATCCAGGTACCTGGAAGGCCAAAACATCACTTGAACCTGGGAGATGGAGGTGCAGTGAGCCGAGATCCCACCACTGCACTCCAGCCTGGGTGACAAAGCCGGGCTCTGTGTCAAAAATACAATAAAATAAAGAAATAGAAAATAAAGAAGGGAAATTAGGTTAAGTGATGTCATAAGGGTGGAGCCCTAATCCAACAGAACTGATATCCTTATAGGAAGAGAGACACCAGGAAGGGCATATGAGGTCACAGGGAGAAGGTGACCTTCTACAAGCCAAGGAGAAATGCCTCAGGACAAACCAACCCTGCTGACACCTTGACCTTGGACTTCCAGTCTCTGAAAGTGTGAGAAATAAATGTCTGTTGTTTGAGCCACCCAGACTATGGTGTTTTGTTACACAGCTTTAGCAAACCATTATATTCCAACTCTTCTTTGCTTCCCACTATGCCCTTTCTACCAAGCACCATGCCTAGCACAGAGTAGGTACCCCCAAAAGATGCACAAACATCATTGCCTCCTCTGGGAAGCTGCATCCCTCACCCTTCTCCACTCCTTCTCCCCTCATCTTAAGTGCCTCTTCTCAGCTTCACTTCCTACCCTTTCCACTTGGCTCTTGAAGAATATGTTTTGAGGTCTAATTCCTCTCTAGGAAATGAAAGCTTTAGGCTGGGCATAGTGGCTGGTGCCTGTAATCCCAGCACTTTGGGAGGCTGAGGTGGGCGGATCACAAGGTCAGGAGTTCGAGACCAGCCTGGCCAACATGAAGAAACCCCATCTCTACTAAAAATACAAAAATTAGCCGGACATGGTGGCAGGCACCTGTAGTCCCAGCTACTCTGGAGGCTGAGGCAGAAGAATCACTTGAACACAGGAGGTAGAGCTTGCAGTGAGCTGAGATTTTGCCATGGCACTCCAGCCTGGGCAACAGAGCGTGACTCTGTCTCAAAAAAAAAAAAAAAAAAGAAAGTGAATTTGCAAGTACTCTAGACACAAATAAGGGTTAAAAAAAAAAAAAAGCCAGGCGCGGTTGTTCACGCCTGTAATTCCAGCACTTTGGGAGGCCGAGGCGGGTGGATCATGAGGTCAAGAGATCGAGACCATCCTGGTCAACATGGTGAAACCCCGTCTCTACTAAAAATACAAAAAATTAGCTGGGCATGGTGGCACGTGCCTGTAATCCCAGCTACTCAGGAGGCTGAAGCAGGAGACTTGCCTGAACCCAGGAGGCGGAGGTTGCAGTGAGCCAAGATCGCGCCATTGCACTCCAGCCTGGGTAACAAGAGCAAAACTCCAACTCAAAAAAAAAAAAAAGGAAAAGAAAGTGAAATCTTTGAAGGCAGAGCCTGGGTCTTCTCCAGGGCTCAGCACCAATGGCATGTACCATACGAATTTTGTTTTGTTTGAGATGGAGTTCCACTCTTGTCACCCAGGCTGGAGCGCCATGGCCCAATCTTGGCTCACGGCAACCTCCACCTCCCAGGTTCAAGCAATTCTTGTGCCTCAGCCTCTCGAGTAGTGGGATTACAGGCACCCACCACCATGCCCAGCTAATTTTTGTATTTTTAGTAGAGACGAAGTTTCGCGTGTTGACCAGGCTGGTCTCGAACTCCTGACCTCAAGTGATTCACCCGCCTTGGCCTCCCAAAGTGCTGGGATTACAGGTGTGAGCCACCATGCCTGGCCAGGGGTTTAAAAAATATTTGAGTGAATGTAAGTTTCTTGACCTTGATGCATGAGCCCTGGAGAGCTAGAAGACTGAGTTCCAAGCTTCATCCCTGTGCAGCCTCGGACACTGAGCCTCAAATGTAACCATGGTCTGGGGTTTTTCCTAAGATCAAAGCTTGGGGAAAGTCCTTTGTTCTCTGAAAGCTACAGGGTTATTTTCACAACTGTTATGAACACTCTTGCCATTGAGCCGAGCGCCTGAGGCTTAGTCAGCTGCCTGGCTCCAGCTGGACTTCCTGCTGTACCTCAGATATACTAAGCTCACTCCTGCCTCGGGGCTTTTGCACTTGCTACTGCTTCTGGGAACACACAGCCCCCAGACTTTCCCATGGTCCCTTAATTTTCAGGGTCTACATCAGAGTCAAGGCAGATGATACTGACTGCAAGGAAACAACTCAGTTACAAGGCATTGTGGAACAGAAGAAATACCACTGCTCATTTAATCCCCTCAATGACTCTGAGAAGGACATACTTATTTCTTTTTTCTTGAGAAAAGGTCTCACTCTGTCATCCAAGCTGGAGTGCAATGGTGCGATCTCGGCTCACCGCAACCTCTGCCTCCTGGGTTCAGGTAATTCTCCTGCCTCAGCCTTCTGAGTAGCTGGGATTACAGGCACGCACCACCATGCCCAGCTAGTTTTTTGTATTTTTAGTAGAGACGGGGTTTAACCATGTTGACCAGGATGGTCTCGATCTCTCGTGATCCACCTGCCTCGGCCTCCCAAAGACTTATTTCTTTTTTCTTGAGAAAAGGTCTCACTCTGTCATCCAAGCTGGAGTGCAGTGGTGCAATCACGGCTCACCGCAGCTTCTACCTCCTTGGCTCAGGTGATCCTCTTACCTCAGCCTCCCGAGAGTAGTTGGGACTACAGGTGCGTGCCACCACACCTGGCTAATTATTGTTTTTGTTTTTGTTTTGAGATGAAATTTCGCTCTTTTTGTCCAGGCTGGAGTGCAATGGCACTATCTCGGCTCACTGCAACCTCCACCTCCCGGGTTCAAGTGATTCTCCTGCTTCAGCCTCCTAAGTAGCTGGGATTACAGGCATGTGCCACCAAACCCAGCTATTTTTTTGTATTTTTAGTAGAGACGGGGTTTTTCCATGTTGGCCAGGCTGGTCTCAAACTCCCGACCTTAGATGATCTGCCCGCCTCGGCCTCCCAAAGTTCTGGGATTACAGGTGTGAGCCACAGTGCCTGACTTAAATACCTTTTTCTACATGTCAGTCCATTTTCCCAAAACCAGGGCCAATGTGACCAGCCCCGAGCCCCATCTACAAGATCAATCCTAGTTAATCATAGTGTAGCTGGAATACTGGGCTCTCACCACAGCAGGGTTCAAGTCCCATCAATGCCCGTACCCACTGCGAGACCTGAGATAAACGACTTTACCTCTCTGGCCCTCAGAGGTTAACCTGGCAGAGTAATTACCTCCCTCACGGAGTTATTTAGGTTTCAACGAGTTGATGCACAAGCGTGCCACATGGATAAACACGAGGTGCTGTTCTACCACAATGCCAGTCCTTACCCCCTTTTTAGCGGTTTCTGTCCCTCTCGGGGCCAGGGACCACTCAGGCTGTCTCTGTCACGACCGACAGCTCCAGCTGCTGCTCCAGGCTCTTCCGCGAGGTCCCCTCCTGTCTCCTGCCCACCCCCATTCCTCCCCGCTCCAGCTCCTCAGCGAGCCGCTTGCGATGGAGGCGCCGACACACTCCGCGGAGCGGGAAGGGACCGGACTCCTCTCACAGCCTGAAACTGCTCAGCGGGGGGCAATCTAAAGCGAATACGAGCCGTGAGGCCAAGCAGAAGCGGTAGCGGCAGAGCAATGCCAGTCTCCCTAAGGCCCCCTGGCGTCTTATTGGCTGTGCTTGAGAAAGAATCCCAGGTTACGCCACTTAGAAAGGAGCAGAACGAGCCAATCAGCGGTGCAACCGCCGCGGGGGCCCAGGCCAGAAGCCCAGCAGGCAGCACCTCGGGAAATTGGCAAGGGGCGAGCTCGCAGGTTGTCAATCCCGAGGCCCTGCCCAGGAGGAAAGGCTGCTGGAGGGAGTCTAACCCCTGGGCCAGTTAATGTTGGGGCAGCGCAATTGGCCGTTCCCTCTGCAGAGTCGTGGGGGGCGGGAGTGCAGGCATAGTCACTCCTGTCTCAGTTACACAGTGCACGGTTACTCCTGGCTGAGCATACAGTCGAGGTGGCAGTGGGAATTGGAAGTGCGAATGTCACGCTGTCAAACACGGGACAAGGCACTGCCCCCTCTTGTTTATTCCCTGCCCCTGTACACTTCCAGGCGAGGCAGGACGAGCTGTGCGGGCAATCGTGGTGGCGTAGGACAGAGAAGAGGCGAGAAAAGGGAGCTGTCCAAAGGCACCGAAGCCTGATTGGCTTTTTTTTTTTTTTTTTAGACGGAGTCTAGCTCTGTCGCCCAGGCTGGAGTGCAGTGGTGAGATCTTGGCTCCCTCCCTGCAACCTCTGCCTTCCGGTTCAAGCGATTATCCTGCCTCAGTCTCCCGAGTAGCTGGGACTTCAGGCGCCCGCTACCACGCCTGGCTAATTTTTGTGTTTTTAGTAGAGACGGTGTTTCGCCATGTTGTCCAGGCTGGTCTCGAACTCCTGACCCCTCCCAAAGTGCTGGGATTACAGGCATGAGCCACCGCACCCAGACTGGCTGGCTATTTTATTTTATTATTTATTTTGAGACGGAGTCTCCCTTCGTCAGGGAGTGTAGCTCGAATGCTGGACTTTCCATACAGCAAGATTCAAGTCCCAGCAATGCCCGTACCCGCTGCGTGACCTGAGATAAACTTCACCTCTCTGGCCCTCAGAGGTTAACCTGGCATTGTAATCGCCTCCCTCACGGGATTATTTAGATTTCAACAAGTGATGAGTGTGATCTCGGCTCACTGCAACCTCCAACTCCCTGGTTCAAGTGATTCTCTTGCCTCAGCCTCTTGAGGAGCTGGGACTACAGGCACGCGCCACCACCCTCAGATAATTTTTGTATTTTTAGTAGAGAGAAAGTTTCACCATGTTGGCCAGGATGGTCTCGATCTTCTGACCTCGTGATCCGCCTGCCTTGGCCTCTCAAAATGTTGGGATTACAGGCATGAGCCACTGCGTTTGGCCTATTTTATTTTATTGATTTATTAAAGACAGGGTATCACTGTGTCACCCAGGTGCCATGCAGTGGCATGATTATAGCTCATTTTAGCCTCAACCTCCTGGGCTCAAGCGATCCTATTACCACCTGGGCCTCCCAAAGCGCTGGGATTATGGGCATGAGCCACCGTGCCTGGACTTGGCTGGCTCTTAAAGGCCTCACAGCCAATCAGGTGTGGTGGCAGCCTACACATCCCCTACACACTTCACAGATTATAGAGGGTTGAGAGAAAGGTGAGAGTTTGCAAATGGGAGCTATTCAGGGTGGAAAATTAGAAGCAAGAAAGGCAGGTCAGGCATGGTGGCTCACGGTTGTAGTCCCAGAATTTTTGGAGGCCCAGGCAGGAGGATTGTTTGAGCCCAGGAGTTCAAGGCTGCAGTGAGCTATGATTGCTCCATTGCACTCCAGCACCAGCAACAGGAGACCCTGTTCGTAAAATAAAAATGAAAATTTTTTTACAAAAAGAAGACCGGGCGCGGTGACTCACGCCTGTAATCCCAGCACTTTGGGAGGCCGAGGAAGGCAGAACACGAGGTCAAGAGATCGAGACTATCCTGCTAACATGGTGAAACCCCATCTCTACTAAAAATACAAAAATTATCCCGGCATGTTTGCAGGCGCCTGTAGTCCCAGCTACTTGGGAGCCTGAGGCAGGGGAATCGCTTGAACCCAGGAGGCGGAGGTTGCAGTGAGTCGAGACCACACAATGAGACTTCATCTCAAAAAAAAAAAAAAAAAAAAAGACAGTGGTATTCCTGAGCACCCGCTGAGGGAGCCTCCAAAGCTGTTCAGGTGAAGGAGGATCAGCGTCCAGTGTCTTCCTGGAGAGAGGGAGGAAGGACAGACTCCGCTGCCGATCAACTCTGGGGCCGGGCTGGCGATCAATGAAATCTCAGCCTAAGAAGCCTGAAGCCTAAGTCCATGGACCAATAAGACTCAAGGCCCTGCCCCATCACAGCCAATCAGCTGCGGGTCCGCGCGGGAGTGGTGCTGTCCTAGGTGCCTCCCAGGCTGCCCCGCGCTCGCAGCGGGCCTGAGCTGCAGAGTGCGGCCCGAGCGGGAGCCAATCAGCGTCTGCCTCAGGTTCCAGGAGTGATCACATGCTGGGGCCTCGCGCCCTTGGCCTCGCTGCACTCCACACTTTTAACGGCCATTCGGGCTTGAGCCGTCCTGAGTGTGCGTGAGGCTGAAAGAGAAGAAGGAACGGGCTGGGCGGGTGAGTGCCATGGTTTTTCTTACTTTACTCCTTTGGGCTTGGGCCGGGCCCAGGGAAAGCTGGGGCATGGGGGCTTGAGTGGCCGCGGTGAGGACTGGGAAGTGCAGGTTAAGGGCTTTAGCCCTTGGGGCTTTCCTCTGCCTTCCAGAGGCTGGAAATGCGGCCTCCTGGCCACCTTTAGGCCTAGGATTGGCAGAGGCCAAGCCAGCTTGCCCTCCGAGTTGGTCCATGGCCCCCGAGGCCAGCCTGAGTTGGAAGGGTGTTGTGGGGAAGTTGGAGGCCCTTAGCTCTGCATGGGGTCATGGGCCCTGAGGTATGGCCTCTGGACAATGAGAGGTTATCAGGGGTCTCTGGACTGAGCCTCGATCTAGTGATTGAAAGAAGAGGCCTGTGGCTCTCCAAAGGTTATGTAGGGGCTGGGTACGGTGGCTTATGCCTGTAATCCCAGCACTTTGGGAGGCTGAGGCAGGCAGATCATTTGAGGTCAGGAGTTTGAGACCAGCCTGGCCAACATGGAGAAACCCAGTCTCTACTAAAAATACGAAATTAACCAGGCATAGTGGTGCATGCCTGAAATCCCAGCTACTCGGGAGGCTGAAGAGAATCGCTTGAACCCGGGAGACAGAGGTTGCAGTGACCTGAGATTGCACCATTGCACTCCAGCCTGGGCAACATGAGCAAAACTCCTCAAAAAAAAAAAAGCATAAAAGGGCCATTCATTGTGAATGGATGCAGCTGAACCTGTTTTCTGACTTCTAGTCTAGTTTCTTTTCCAGTTAATCCTCAAAGGTGTGCGATGAGGGGGTCCCTATGATCTAGATTCAGCTCACCTGGGCATGATTATATCTGGTTCTTGGGTCATATAGAGGACAGATTTAAGGGAAAAAGGGAACTAATTCACTCCTTGTGGTGTCTCCTTTCTGGAAGTCTTGGATGTACTTAACTAGAAAGAGTGAACATCTTTAAAGTTTATGTAAGATTTGGATAATCACTCTTAATCTATATAAAATGCTGTGGGGAATTTAACCACCCTAAGTTGTGGAAAGAGATGGGTTCACGGGAAGAGTGGTGAGTTCACAGAACTTTTCTAAATTGAATCTTATTCAACTTGGCTTGCAAAGAGGACTTGATATTTAGAATAAGTAAAATGGAGGGAGAACTTTTTCACAAAACAAATGATCATCCCTCTCATTGGCCTATTCTAATGGTTTGAATTACAATATTTAAGGAGAATTGGTATTTGTGTTGCTGTGTTGGCATTCTTACATCAAGCTCAGTTGTGCCTGAAGAAACTCATGATACAAGGATTTCTGGGAAGCTCTGACTTTGCAGCCAGGCTGTGCCCCGAGCCCCTTGCACATTTACCCATCAGTGTCCCACTGGTCAAGCCCATCAGTAAGAATAAGAAATACCAGATTTCAGGCTGGGCACAGTGGCACATGCCTGTAATCCCAGCACTCTGGGAGGCCAAGGTGGGCAAATTACAAGGTCAGGAGTTCAAGACCAGCCTGGCCAGCATGGTGAACCCCCCGCCCCTTTTTTTTGAGACAGAGTCTCGCTCTGTCACCCATGCTGGAGTGTAGTGGGACAGTCTTGGCTCATTGCAACCTCTGCCTCCTGGATCCAAGTGATTCTTTTGCCTCAGCCTCCCGAGTAGCTGGGACTATAGGCACCTGCCACCATGCCCAGCTAATTTTTGTATTTTTTTTCTTTTTTATTATTTTTTTAATAAAGACGGTGTTTCACCATGTTGGTCAGGCTGGTCTTGAATTCCCGACCTCAGGTGGTCCACCCGCCTTGGCCTCCAAAGTGCTTGGATTACAGGCGTGAGCCACAACGCCCGGCCAGTTTTTGTATTTTTAGTAGAGATGGGGTTTCACCATATTGGCCAGGCTTGTCTCGAACTCCAGACCTTGCAATCTACCCCCCTTGGCCTCCCAAAGTGCTGGGATTACAGGCATGAGTCACCACACCCAACCAAAACCCCATCTCTTCTAAAAACACAAAAAATTAGCCAGGCGTGGTGGTGCAAACCTATAATCCCAGCTACTCAGGAGGCTGAGGCAGGAGAATCACTTGAACCCAGGAGGTGGAGGTTGCAGTGACCCGAGATTGTACAACTGCACTCCAGCCTGGGTGACAGAGAGAGACTCTGTCTCAAAAAAAAAAAAAATCAGATTTCAAATTTTATTCAGTAATAGGAGTATTAGGCTGGGCACAGTGGCTCACGCCTGTAATCCCAGCACTTTGGGAGGCCCAGGTGGGTGGATCACCTGACATCAGGAGTTCAAGACCACTCTGGTCAACATGGTGAAAACCCACTTCTACTAAAAATACAAAAACTTAGCCAGGCATGGTGGCAGATGCCTGTAATCCCAGCTACTTGGGAGGCAGAGGCAGAAGAATCACTTGAACATAAGAGGTGGAGGTTGCAGTGACCTGAGACGGCACCATTGCACTCCAGCCTGGGCAACAAGAGTGAAACTCTGTCTCAAAAAAAAAAAGTAATGAATATTAAAAAGGGCTGAGAGGCAGATATCATATCTTCTTTTCTCACACACTGCCCTTCCAATCATGCCCTACCTAATCTCTTCCCACTCTACCATCTGGTAGGACACAGACTTGTGTCCACATAACCCGTTGTTTCCTTGCTCTTCCCAGAGCGACAACTGCAGATGATTCCTACCAAGTTAGCCCAGAAAGAGGAAAGTGGGGAAGGCTTTCGAGTCTAGGGAGGGGGAACATTTTTAAGAACAGCATCAGGGCTGGGCACAGTGGCTCCCGGCTGTAATCCCAGCACTTTGGGAGGCTGAGGCAGGAGAATCACTTAAATCCAGGAGAGAGGCCGGGCGCGGTGGCTCACGCCTGTAATCCCAGCACTTTGGGAGGCTGACGTGGGTGGATCACGAGGTCAAGAGTTCATAGACCATCCTGGTCAACATGGTGAAACCCCGTCTCTACTAAAAATACAAAAAAATTAGCTGGGCACAGTGGCGCGTGCCTGTAATCCCAGCTACTCGGGAGGCTGAGGCAGGAGAATTGCCTGGACCCAGGAGGCTGAGGTTGCGGTGAGCCGAGATCGAGCCATTGCACTCCAGCCTGGGTAACAAGAGCGAAACTCCATCTCAAAAAAAAAAAAAAATCCAGGAGACAGAGATTCAGTGAGCTGAGATCACACCACTGCATTCCAGCTCTGTGACAGAGTGAGACTCCACCTCAAAAAAAATAAAAAATAAAGAACAGCAACAACAGGTCAGGAGACCTGCTGCTCATGCCAGCAGTGGATCATCTGAGGCTAGGAGTTCGAGACCAGCCTGGCCAACATGGTAAAACCCCATCTCTACTAAAAATACAATAATTAGCCAGGTGTGATGGTGTGTCACCCATAATGGTGTGTTGCCTATAATCCCAGCTACCTGGGAGGCTGCGACACAAGAATCACTTGAACCCAGAGGCAGAGGTTGCAGTGAGCTAAGATGGTAACACTGTACTCCAGCTTGGGTGACAGAACATGATTCTACTTCATAAAGCAAACAAAACAATGTCAACATCAGAACAGCACCAGCAGTGTCCCTACTCTTCCAAGTCAAAGTGCTGTCTGCTTCTGCTATCTGTGCACAGTGTGCAGGATGGCCTGGGTTACACTGTCAAGAACGCAGGGAGAGGGTAGAGAAGGGCTGAGTGTCATCAGCATAGGGGCTGCAGTGCAGAGGGCCCTGGAGATAACTGAAAGGAGGCCGTCTCTAAGGGGATATCCTTAGGTGGGGTTCCCCATCATTGAGGGCTTTTGTTCACTGAAAGGGGAGTCCCCTTGCCCCTCCCCGCTTTTAGGTTCCCCGAAAGCCCACTGATGCTCCCTGGGTACTACATTTGGCTTACACAGGATACTGCCCTTTGAGCAATCTCCAACTCTCTCGAACAAAGAGCAAACCAGTGGGGGAGCTGAGTCACAGGCACATGACATGGGGCTGGGAAGCCAGGAGGCCAAACTCAGATGGGTGACGATGTAACTATCCAGACCCCTACATCCTTCCTCTATCCTGGGGGGCTGGTCCCTCAGGGCTTTCCACACTTCTTCCTTGTCTTGAGGGACTCTATTTCTGTGTTGGAGGAAGGGTGTTTCCCTCTGCGCCCCTACATATCAGAGGGATTGATGCTTTGTGTCTTTTATATGGGTGTCTAACAAGTCCCTGGGTGTGGTGGTGTGAGGAATTAGAAAGCTTAGAAATGGAAAATACTTAACTTTCAGAGTAGCAGATGAACATGGCTCTCACATTTGCATTTTCCCTTTCATTCTGACTCATCTTCTCCTCTCACCACCCCGTTGCCCCTCCGCCAGCCTCACCCATTGACACACCCTGTCTGATCTAGGAAGGGTTAACACCCGCCCACACCCATGCTAGAATAAGAGGGAAGGCGTGGTGGGCCTGGAGAGTGGGAGGTTGCTCTCAACATTTGGGGGTCCTGGAGTCAAAGGGAGAAATGGGAGTCAGAGACAATATTTGGGTCTAGGAGGGGACCAGGTCTCTTAGATTCTCCTCCCTTAAGAGAAGCCTATGGGGAACCAGAGCAGCCTACCAGTGCCTGACTTGTTTATTTTCCATCATTTGCTGTGTATATGATATGCCAGGCACATATCATCAGTGCTTTATATGCTGGACACCGTGGCTCACGCCTGTAATCCCAGCACTTTGGGAGGCCAAGGCAGGAGGATCATTTGAGCCAAAGAGTTCAAGAGCAGCCTAGGTAACATAGTGAGACCCCTGCCTCTACCAAAAATTAAAAATTAGCTAGGCATGGTGGCTCAAACCTGTAGTCCCAGCTACTCAGGAGGCGGAGGTGGGAGGATTATGTGAGCCCAGGAAGCCAAGGCTGCAGTGGGCTGTGATCCTACCACTGGGCAACTGAGGAAGACCCCGTCTCAAAATAAATGTGTCATCAACATTTGTTGGATAAATGAAAATTCTGCTATAGCATCAGGGATAACAGAATAATGACAAACAGAAAAAGAAACTTGAGCCTCTCAGACCTCATCCCTTCCCTAGATATTAAACAGTGCTCAAGTGTGAAGAGAGGGGAAACCTCCGGGGACCTTGACCCCTTGGGCAGGAAGTGAAAGAAACCCAAGTCCTGATTTCAGAGAAATGACATTTGTCATCCATCCAAGAAAAGGAGGTTTTCACTTCGAAGACCACCACAGGTCCTTCCTGGGGTTGCCCCTTTCAGAGCTTGATGGGAGGATCTGAGTCACTCACACACCCAGCCCCCCCAGGTGACAGGGGTCATTCCCAACCAGCAAGTGAGGCTTCCCCGTACCAGGTCAGGGAGAGGGAGGAGGCCAGCTTCTGGCTCCTCCACCCTATTCTTGGGATCCAAATGTTTCAGTCCTTTTTCCTTCTGGGGTAGCAGAAACAGCTGTGCGCTCTGCTGTCATCTCTAAGAAACCACCACACCACTAAATGTTACTGTGTACTTACAAACCACGCTCATATTCGTCATGTCACTTCATCTTCACCCCCACCTCCAAATGAGGTAAGCAGAGATTATCCCTAGTTCATGCATGACGTTACTGAGGCCCAAAGAAGTGACCTGCCCAATGTGACTCAACTAGTAAATGGCAGAGATTAAATTCAAAGGCAGGTCTGATGACTCCAAGGTCCTTGCTGCCACAGTTACACTTCTTTGACTCTAGGCGTTCACAGATGAAGTGAGGAGACAGGAGGCTAGGGGTAGAATGTGTGCGTTCTGGAAGCAGAGGGGGTGGTCTCTCCTGCAGGCAGAAGGCAGAGGCAGGGTTAGAAAACCCCACCCCTCGGGGGGATGTTGGCAGACTGATACTTGGGACATCCAATGGAGGCCTGTGAGGTCAGGGGCGGGGCTAGCTCCAGGGGGGCCCCAGGAGCCCCAACAGCAGTTCAGAGCATGCGGTGTCCTGGAGCAAGCTACAAGCGGTGAGTGAGGCTTTCTTCCCATCACAACTCTCTTTCTGTCCCCTCCCTGCCAACCTGGAGCCCTCCCTCCCACAAGGGCCCCTGCTCAGGGAGCCTGCCCCTAGGACTCTACCTGCTGGGTGCTAAGACATTTGGGTTCTGATTCTCTTGGTATCTGGGTTCCCAGCTCAATGCAGTGGTTTTGATGTGTGAGAAACTCCTGCCTTGTTGGGTGTGGTCTTCCTAGTCTTCACTTTGTGTCTAATGAAAAACAAATTAAACCATCTCCTTATCCGAATCTTGAGCAGAAACAGCCTCCCTATCTCCAGGTCCCATATCCCTTCCTCCCATTTCCTCAGGGGTTCATTCTCCAAAACCTCTCTCCATCATTGGAAGGTCCTCTCCTGCGGCTTCTGCACCTGTTTTCCTCATTCTCTGGATGGGAATGTCTGATTCCTTCCCTGAGGATGTGTTCTAGAACCTTCAGCTTCAGGATGATGATTGCCAGATGCCTTAGTGCCTTCGCTTCTGCAGCCAGGTTCCCTATCATGCTGCTCTCTCTGCCTTTCCGGTTCAATGGGCTTGTGGGGGAGGACCCACTAGCTCTCTAAGCTCTCCTGTGACAGTGTCATGCTCCATGCCTTAGTGCCAGGGTTGACTGGGTTTTGTGGTGATCCTCTTCTCTGGAATGAGGAAAGCCTGGCTTGCACAGAGGTGTTTCCCTGCGGAGGGAGTTGGAGAAGCAGAAGTGGCAGTATCTGCTATCTTTGACGTCACAGACTGCTAACTGGCAGATGGCCTGTATGCCTGTCTTAAACCCACTACTAGATATTTCTGTTAACTGCCTGACCCTTGCTCTGTAAGTCCTGAATTTGGTCTAATTTCCATTCTCTCGCCACCATGCCTACCCATTATGATTCTGGATAAGCTCCAATCCTCTCTTGGGTTACTCTATTTGCTTACTCAGGACAGAGGGCTCTGATCTAGGACCACCAACTCACACTCTCTCCCCTCACATCCACAGGCTTGAGATGAGATGTTCCTCCCTCCCCTTTCAACCATGGACCTCACACTGTGGCCTTTCTCTTAGAGCCTCTGAGACTGGTTCCCAAGCAAGGCACAATGTCCCTGCCCCCCATAAGACTGCCCAGCCCCTATGGCTCTGATCGGCTGGTACAGCTAGCAGCCAGGCTCCGGCCAGCACTATGTGATACCCTGATCACTGTAGGGAGCCAGGAGTTCCCCGCCCACAGTCTGGTGCTAGCAGGTGTCAGCCAGCAGCTGGGCCGCAGGGGCCAGTGGGCTCTGGGAGAAGGCATCGGCACTTCCACCTTTGCCCAGCTCCTGCACTTTGTGTATGGGGAGAGTGTAGAACTGCGGCCTGAGGAGCTAGGACCCCTTGAGGAGGCGGCCAGGGCCTTGGGGGTACAGTCCCTGGAAGAGGCATGCCAAAGGGCTCGAGGAGACAGGGCTAAAGAGCCAGATCCAGGCCTGAAGAAATACCAGGAGGAGCCAGAAAAACCCTCACGGAATCCTGAGAGAGAACTGGGGGACCCTAGAGAGAAGCAGAAACCAGAGCAGGCTTCTCGAACTGGTGGGAGAGAACAGGCATTGCACAAGCAGGCACCAGCAAGAGGCAGCTCCAAGAAGGCAGGAACAACGGAGGAGGCTCAGGCGGAGCAGAGGAGGTCAAAGGAGAACCGCCTCCAAGCCCCTGTTGGCCACAGAGGAGCAGATGGGAAGCAAGGAGTGCTCATGTGGGTGAGGGAGAATCCAGGGGGCTCCGAGGAAAGTCTATGGGAGCTCCCTGGCCCCTCTCCCTCAGCAGGCTTCCCCCAAACCAGCGTCACCCCCAATCCCTGGAGGGCTGAGGCCCCTTGGGTGGTGGGGGGCCAGCCTGCCCTGTGGAGCATCCTGCTGGTGCCGCCTAGATATGGCACTCCCTTCTCCCACAGTGCCCCCACCACTGGAGCCTGGCAGGACCACAGGTGAGTGGAGGGCCTAGTGCTCTCTCTCCAGGCTGGGAGGGCATGGCCCAGGAGGGGCAGCCCTGCTGGGTGGAAGGGCACCGGATCTCTACTGCACAGTTCCTGAGCTGGGGATGGGACAAGAAGCTGCTACCACAGGGCATGCCAAAGCCCAGCCCCTGGGAGGTCTTGGGACACCCCCTCTTCAGCAAGGGGCCAGGCTCCCAGGTTTAGCCAAGGCTGTAACTCTTCCCCACCCCATCCCAGGATCCCACTGTCCCTAAATGCCCCCAAAGGGCTCTGGAGCCAGAACCAGTTGGCCTCCTCCAGCCCCACCCCAGGTAAGACCCGAGCTGTCCTGCATACACGTGCAACATGGTCTCTTCTCTGGGGTGGGGCCCAGGAGTCCAGCCTGAGCAGGGCCCCCACCTACCTCCCTCTGTTCCCTCTAGGTTCCCTCCCCCAGGGCCCCACACAGCTCAGCCCTGGGGAGGTGGAAGAGTCTGATCAGGAGCACACAGGTGAGTTGGGTAGAGGAACTCGCGCCTCAGCCCCACTGTAGCCCTTGATGTCTTGCCTGAATGGTACAGTGATTTGGCGCTGGGTCCCTGGCCCTGCCCTCCTTTGCCTTCTCTGTCCCCACAGGTGTGCTTGCAACCTGTGCAGGTGATGAGGGCAAGGCAGGCTACCCACCTCGCCCGCACCTTCCCCGGGCCCCTCCTGCTCGATCTCGGCCCTATGCGTGCTCTGTCTGTGGAAAGAGGTTTTCACTCAAGCATCAGATGGAGACGCACTACCGAGTCCACACAGGTATGGGGACCCTACCCTGTGTGAACTATCGGCTTTCTTTCCAACTCCGCTCCGGACTTCCCTCCTGCGTGCCCAGTTCCTGCGCAATCCCCTCTTCCCGTGGCCCGATGTACCCCCTAACTTGGCCAGCTTTTGTCCCCTTCTTCCTTCCTTGACCGGCTTCCCCTTCACCCCTAGGAGAGAAGCCCTTCTCCTGTAGCCTTTGTCCTCAGCGCTCCCGGGACTTCTCGGCCATGACCAAGCACCTGCGGACGCACGGGGCTGCTCCGTACCGCTGCCCCCTGTGCGGGGCCGGCTGTCCCAGCCTGGCCTCCATGCAAGCGCACATGCGCGGCCACTCGCCTAGCCAACTCCCGCCCGGATGGACCATCCGCTCCACCTTCCTCTACTCCTCCTCGAGACCGTCCCGGCCCTCGACCTCTCTCTGTTGTACCCCTTCCTCCACCACCTGACAGGGTATCTGTAGCGTCTTAGCCAAGAGTCCAATTAACGAAAAGCCGGCCGGCTCGGCTTCTGACCTGGCACCGCTGCTACAGCGGCCTAGCAAATTCCGCTCCAGAAAGGGCGCCGAGTGCCCTCTCCCGGACGATCGCGGGTCGCAGAAGCCCAGGCCAGCGAGCCCTACAGGGTGAGGGCACTGAAGTGTGCAGGAGCGAAGGTTAACAGTAGGAGGATTGCCGATCGCATCAGCATAATAAAGAGTTTCCTGTGTTCTCCCTTCAGGACTAGAAAGCCGAGTTTAGTCTGTGCACACCCCCGCCCACGCCCCCTTGTCCTGTAGCGGCCTCTGGTGGTCCAGCGGAGTAGACACTTCCTCCATCCCCAAGGCGCCCCGTCCTGCCCCGGAGGCAGCCGGCCGTGAGGGCTCGGTGTCCGGGTACACACCTTGCGGCAGGTCCTGGGCTGGTGGGGGTTGTGCGACCGCAAGTCACTCGCCCTTTCCACTGCAATCCACGGCGTGAGGAGTCTGATCTGGGCGCACTCGGCCCAGGGTGGGAGAGGAACGCGTGCTCCGACCTTGCTCTCGGCCACCCGCTTACTCTCCTGGAGCACACTGACCCCGAGACCGCGGCCTCTCCGGCGTCTTCCGTCCACGCCGTGCCGAACCGTCGCCGGGTCGCTCCTGGAACCGAGACTGTGCTTTCCACCGCTCCTTCTCCAGCCCACGCCTCCAGCAGCCGCGAACTGCATTTCCCAGGGCCTCGGGATCTCGGGGCCCGAGACCGCGGCACCCTGGGAGTGGTAGTCCACGCGGGCCGCCAGCCTAGCCAAGAACAATGGGAGGAGCCTGGGGCGAGGACCACACCTCCCGGAGGCAAGCAACCCGCTTTCCGGGTCCTGGCTGGGAACCCCCGCAGTCCCTGCCCTCGCGCCCTGGCTGCTGGAGGAAGCAGCGAGGCGTCCGGACTACATTTCCCGGAGTCCCCTGCGGCTCGCCCCTCTGCGGCCGCGACGCGGGGTCTGTGCTCCCCAGGTGCGGTCCGAGGGCGCCGGCCGGCCGCGGACTCCCGCTCCCGTGGTGCCCCGCGCGTGGCCGTCCCGGCCTCCGGCCCCCGGCGGCCCAGCGGCGGCGCTGGTTGTTGTCGTGCGCCGCGGCCGCCCCGCCCCGCCCCCGCTCTCTCCCCTCCCCCCGCCCCTGCGCACGGGCCGCCCCTCCCCCCGCCTCCCCGGGCCCTCTCACGGTGCCAAGATGGCGGCGGCGGCGGGCGGCGGCAGTTGCCCCGGGCCTGGCTCCGCGCGGGGCCGCTTCCCAGGCCGGCCGCGGGGCGCCGGCGGGGGCGGGGGCCGCGGCGGACGGGGCAACGGAGCCGAAAGAGTGCGGGTAGCTCTGCGGCGCGGCGGTGGCGCGACGGGGCCGGGCGGAGCCGAGCCTGGGGAGGACACGGCCCTGCTCCGTTTGCTGGGGCTCCGCCGGGGCCTGCGCCGGCTCCGCCGCCTGTGGGCCGGCCCGCGGGTCCAGCGGGGCCGGGGCCGGGGTCGGGGCCGGGGCTGGGGCTCGAGCCGGGGCTGCTTGCTGGAAGAGGAGAGCAGTGACGGGGAATCCGACGAGGAGGTGAGGCGGTCGGAGGCGTCCCCCGCGCCGGGTGGGGCGGAGGCCGGGGCTTCCAGGGGTCTGGGTTGCCCCGGGGGCGGTGTGGGCAGGCCGGGTTCTCAGGGTTCCTTCGGAGGGACGAGGCACGGAGGGAGGGAGGCTGCATGCAGCTTCCGGGGGAAAGGGCCTCTGGAAGTGGGTAGAGAAGCCCCGGCTGCAGCCGGGCACTCGCGCCCGATGCCGGTCCTGTTGAAGTGTCTTGGGCCGATGCTTTTCGGCAGCTGGCAAAGCTAGGGCAGTGGAGGTTTGGGCGAGGAGGCAGTGGGTACTGCATCTCCAGCCAGTGGTGGTTGACAGCAGCAGCGTGGCCTTGGCGAACGGACTGGAGCTGTCTGGGCTCTTACCTGTGGGCCGCCCCGCCGGGCCTCGCAACCTCTTGGTTTCTCCAGGGCCCACTTCCTCTTGGCATCTCAGGTGGAGTGGCGGAGGGCATCCTCTTGGGGCTCGGGTTGAACAGGAGTGGGATGAAGGCCAGGACTGGGACTGGGCACTCTGGCAGGTCAGAGCTCAGCTCAGGATTTCTCCCCAGCCTTTCAGAACAGGCAGGAAGGTGGGGGTTTCGTTACCCAAGACGGTTAATAACCACCTGAGGGCTCTCAGTGGAGCCTGTGCGAAAGGCATCTGATGCTCTCCCTGCCCCTCCACTTGCGGACCCCTGTTCCCAATTTAATTCAGAAAGAAGTTGTGCCCCAACAGGCTGTCTGTGGAGGTCCCGCTTTGGCCTGAGTTGGAATATGAGTTAGGGGCCTGCTGCCTTCCCAGAGGAGACCCTGTCTTCTCTCCTGGGCCAGTGAACCATGGCTTTGGCTGTGCTGGTCCGGCATTGGGGAATCGGGGTTGGAAATACCTAGCGCCTGCAGCCCTAGGGAGAGACCCTGTCCTCTACTTCCCTTGACCTTTGAGCCTTTTTCAATCTTTTAAAATAAGAATGGGTATGCTAAGTGGGAACTGGGGATATTCCTTGATACCTGAGGTGGACTGGGGCTTTGGCACTGAC